CGTCGTTGCCAAGCGACGAAACCCAATCCCGATGGCAAACACCGGGGGGCGGCGGCTTGTTTTACAACGTCGTTGCCAAGCGACGAAAACTCAACCCCGATGGCAAACACCGGGAGGGGCGGCTTGTTTTACAACGTCGTTGCCAAGCGACGAAAACCCAACCCCGATGGTAAATACCGGGGGGGGGGACGGGGGGGGGGTTATTCAATATACCATATTCGAGTATCCCGGCTGCTTTGAAGAAGAATCAACGGCACACTTGCTTATCTCTTGCAGCATATGCGTTGTAGCACACAGCCACGAGTGTGAAGGTGCATGGAATCAGGTATATAATGTGTGTGCAAATCCGAAGCCCTTCGCACAAGTAAACGCAGCATGCGGCATATTGTCAACAAAGCGAGGCAACAAGTGAGGCTCCCAGACTTGCAAAGAACCAGTAGCGTGACAGTTGATTCCTACGCACCCCTGCCCCTGCAATGCACCATGTACTCCCTTGATGCTGCCCACTGCAGCGCAAAGGTGGAAGCGCTACGTACCCTCCTGTGCGTCACTCAAGCAGCGTTTTATGTACTTGCTACGAGACCGTACGCGACAAGACATCCTTGGTGTGCTTGGTTGGCAAGAAGCAAGCAAGCCGAGCGCTCTGCCGAAGAGGTACCGTAACCGACAACGAAGTGGTGAGGTACCGCAAGACTCTGTTGCGCTTACCAAGAGTCGTTCCCTTGCCGATGTGTTGGTTGTTGTCTTGTTGCTTGCGTCGAGAACCAGCGCAGCCCCGACCGCCGGCCGCGAAGGGGCCACGTCAATTCGTCAGGTCAGGCGACTCCACATCCCGGTACCCGTTTTCCCTGTATCCTCTTGGTTCCCCCCCGATGCGGAAGGATCTCGGGAAGGCTCATCACATGAGGTGCGGTGACTAAGATACGAAGATTGCCACCAAAACTATCACACCCATCTGGCCAACCCGAGCTACAGTACTGTAACCCTCGGGAACAAGGGTGCCACGAGGGCTACGGAAAAGTACAACAACCGGGCGCGAGAGACTGTTTACCACCAACTCGAGGATTTTTTGGTGTGATGACCGTCCGTGGTTTTACGTCATACCCCATGGGTTCGCTTAAGGTGTTTCCTCCCGGCTGCAGGGGTGCTTTTATGTGCGCATTGTAGCGTGATCGCCTGGTTCAATCCAGGGTGTAATTTTGTTAGCGTTTGTTTCCAGAGGTACCAAGGTAGTTGTCGCGGGAATGATGCTTTTTTACGATGCTACAGCGACCCGAGGCAAGCTCGCGGACATAACGAAAGGACGAGCACCGGGATTAAATGATCACGTGTCGTTTGCGAACTTCCGTTGCTCAGCTTCGGTGAAATGGTGCCAACGCTATCGCGACTGTGGAAAGAGGAGGCACAGCAGCAGTGGAACGCATGACATCGTCACTCGCAATGTGTAGAACCAAGTGGGAGAGAGCTCGCAAACGTCCTCGAGTGGAAGCATCGGCCAAGCGCTAACCAAGGCAGCAAAAGAACCGCGGTTGAATGGAGCACGAGATGACAACACGGTCGGGCTGATCACCGCGGACAGCATATCTGAAATAAAGCCATATAGAATAACCTACACCTGCCCGTGGACCTGCTAGGGCGGCTGGAGACGACCAAATTTCGGTTTTGAACAAGGTGACGATGACCGAACATCGAAACAGATCGCGCCACAGGCAAACAGGTTGTTGCCCTGCTGCCTCAAGCTACCGATATCTGACTGTACGTACGTATACAGCATCACCGAACAGAGAAAACTTGTACGAGATACCGCTGTCCGAAATACCCCGTTCAGCAGGTGGCGGGACATGCCACTCAGGATGAGTGGTTCGCCACTTACTGCCTGCCTAGAACACTCCAAACAGAGATTTGTTGATTTTTTTTTATGTTTTTGCTTCCCACCGTGCGCTCTTGTGCTTTGCCGGTGTGGGGCAAGAGCGAAGACAAACGTCGCCGCTACGCCGAAAATCACTCGCAGAGCAGAAGAACACGCTTCTTCTCCCACAACCCACCCCCTCTATCCTGAAGTTGACCCGAAAACTAAATCGGGCTTTTCTACCCGATGTCGCTGGCATAGCTCAACCAAGTGCTACATCAGCTTCCTTTTTTAGATCGAAGCAACGGCAAAAGTTCATCGAGCGCGTGCAACCCCGTACAGACAGATGGTCTAGGCCTGGTCGTAGTTCTCGGTCTGAAGGCCCTTGATGTTGGCCACTTCCACGTGCTGGACAAGGGTGTACAGCTGGCAGGACGCGGTACAATGGGGAGGGCGGGAGGGGGCGACACAAAGGGCCATAGGGGTGGGGTCAGCACCACGACGAGACGGAGTTTTCTCAAAGTTCGATCAAGAAAACACGTCACTTCATCAGTTGCCGCGATCGGTGAATTGCCGCACAAGATTAAGCTTCTTGAAAATCGGTGAATACCCAACCAGGTGGATAGGTTGGGCACGCTACGCACTTCAAGACACATTCCATACCCTTTGGGTGCATCACATACATACAACAGACCACACGGCAGGTCGCTTCAGGCCACCCACGACCCACTGCCTGTACATCCAAAGTTTTAGGTACCGCTTGATCGAGGCCACACTCTGCTCGGTCTGCTGGCTGGACAAACCGGCGGAAATTTTTGTAAAATCCATGAGACGGTCGGCCTGGAACAGGTAGGGACACTTCACTGATGCCGTTGCCGCCTCAAACCGAAACCAAAATGAATTTTCGGGGGAGGGGGGTGGGGTGGGGGGGTTCGACTAGATTATCGTCTCCATGGCAACGTGTGAAGTCGTGCGTACTGCCAAGAGTTCAGCCACGAATGTACCGACGTCAAATGTGTAAACAGACCTTCAGGAGACGAACTGAGAACCATCTCGACCAAAGACTGACGAGATACATGGGAACAATGGTCATTCTTCGAAACCCTCAAACGTGCTTGTCAGTGCGACGCCACACAGCGGTAAACTCGGGAAGAAAAGCTGAATGGAAAGCATGGCCATCAATGCCTACGAGCGCACGCCATTCGCACCACAAGGCTTCCCCAAGATCAGAGAACCAATTTTGCACCTACCGGCCATCACCTTTTGATACCCTTATAACGAGCGATTTTCCAACCATGACTAACCTGCCCAATTTGAAAACAACACGCGACACTGCGCTACAACCCAAGATAATGCGTACAGCAGTAGCACCCGCTCGACAACCACACACAGAGTTCAGCCTCCCCCATGCTGCCTCATGGGGTCCCAGTTCATGGCAGATATAAGTGTTTTGTGTTTTCAACCGCAGTAAGACTGGCGTCTATTCATTGGTCGGCCGGTGAGCGCGGTCGATGCCGATAATAAAGGCACACACAAACATCACGCAGACTACAACAAAGTTCCGCGTTCTCCAGCTCAGCCCTTGCAGTCTCGTTGGAGGCCTGTAACCACAGGATTCAAAAACAGTTAGACGCACCTTCTCAGTGGCCTCCTCGTCCTCGTTACGCTTGCGCGAAAGGCGCACGCGCACCCGGGTGGGCACGTTGCGCACACCCTTGGAGAAAAGGAACTTGTTGAGCTTGGCGTCCACGCGCACGTCGCTGCCACAAAATAGCACAAGCACCAGAGAATGACAGGATAAGGAAGACACACGAAAAAGTCAACGACAAGCGGAACGATACGCACTCAAGTCACTCTGTGAGCAGCAAGAGCATTTTACTAAATAACTTGGCATGTGCTTTGTGCCCGGTTGAGTTCATTACTTCGATGCGTCTTAATCGCACCCAGGACAAAGAGCACAAACAACACATCCATTCAAACCGACTCGTTCGGTGGCGCGGCAGGCGAGATCATGAGGACAAGCTTTGTCCAACGCTGAAAACGCCCAACAACGTCACTCAGAACACTCATCGAAATATAGTCAATCAGCATCGAGCCGTTGTGTGATGCACTTTGCTACATGCCGAGTTGCAGGCCATGGGTAAATCAGACCAGGCGGCGCGGACCTTGAGAATAGAAAAGCTTTGAGCCGTCACGAGGAGAATCTCACGGACAGTGAGACAGACACAGCGGTCGGTACGATCTGGCTCGGTGGTGTGCCTTTGAGGGAGGGAGAGAAAACAGCTACTCCTCAGCGATGTTCTCCCTCCCAAGTACGATTATGCGGCTTGGAATTTTTAGCAGGGTACTCGGTGGAAGAAACTAAGAAAAACAACTCGGCATGTATATCAGAATGCGGTGTGTACTTTCAGCGCCAATGCACGCTCGATAGTATTTATTTTGTGTGGACACAACGGTGATAGCGACGGCAGTAGGAAACGCGTCTGGCAATCTTCCATGTTCAGGGACGATGTGAGTTTCGATCGAGTATCTGCCAGCCAGTCCGAAACGGATCAGAACTCACGTCGAAGGCTGGGCCAGGGCATCCGTCAAGTCTTTGAATCGCAACCACAATCAATCGCGTCTGAAACTGGCAGTTGGCACTCAAAACGGACGCAACGACGGCGCGTGTGCGGGGTACGAAACTGCTGCTGGACCAGGCTCAACAATAGCCCAACAAGGTGGCAAGCTGCAAGCAGGTATGGTGGAGTTTCTTGAGCCCGGGGAGATCACGAGGACTGAACGAATTGGGACAACAGGAGTGGGTAGGTCGCGCCTGGTTGCATAGGAATGGTAAGCCAGCCATGTTTGAAGGCAATGAAAGCTGCTCTACTTACGCCAGCAGGAGGGTATGATGCCTGTCTCCCCGACTCTCTCGTTGACAGCCGGAGGATCGCTAGGCCGGAGCTGGTACTGTTGCAACATGTCTCGCAAGCAAGGTTTTCAAGACAAGCTCCAACTCATGCTCCCTTCCCGCAAACAGAGTTAAGCCAGAGAAACTTGTTCGTTTTCGATCCAGCTGTGCGTAGGGCAGTCCATTCTCCTACCGAGACCAGAGATGAACAAACTAAAATGAAATATATGTCAACACAACAAAAAACGCACCTGTACCGTGGTAGGCATGTATCGATCAACCAATCAGCAGCAGTCGGCATGGATTTTGGGGTTTGCGGGAGTGGTGACGTGCTTGGCTGAAGCGGCAGTTACACACGGTCGCCCCGGTGTTCTAGTGGGTAGCATCGCAGCCTGCTAGGGGCCAGGTCATGGGTTCGAGTCCCGGCAGAGAAAGTTTTTTTCTCACCAAATAAATCCTGGTCTAGGATGAAAGCGACGCGCTGCAAAGCTCGTCTATTAGTAGACCATAATCGACTTCGTAAGTCGCGAGGGAAGGGATTGCTGTACCCTTCTCGCGATAAAAATACCTCAGGCATGAACCGCAGAAGGGGGTCCAACCCCCCCCTCCTATGTGACCCCGGTTGGGTCGTCTAGCCAGTAGAAGTGGAGGATAGGGGCCAGAGGCAGACGACAGAGTCCAATGATGGGAGAAAAACAAACAACAAAACAAACACAGAGAACTCCGCGGCAAGGTGAGCAAACACATCTGCATATGAACAGCTGCACGGAAGGGACCACCGGTACACAGAGAAAGAATAATCTACAGCTGTAGTGTGCCTTCCGACCAAAGCCGCAAGCTGAGTTGGGCGCTCGGCGACAACAGGTCCCGCGACCCAGGTATTTACCTGGTATGTACCTACGTTGGGCTCACACACTTCACACAATTTCCTCGAGCTACATAAAGTGTGTGTACCGAATAGGAGCACCCCACGTGCTGAACAGTGGCCCACCGATGCGCAGAGGTGCAGACTGCCATTCACTGGCAAGAGAATCTACTGGGCAGCTACAACAGGTGGATACAGCAGTTACTGCCGTGGTTTGTGACACGATCACATCCCATTGCCACACGACCAAACCGGACCCCCGAGCGTCCGCTCTCCAGTCGTGTGTGTAACTACAAGGATTCAACTGCAGGCCAAGGAGCTACGCACAAGGATGAAGGGCCATCCAAAATAGGGTGTATTCTTCTCGGTATCCTCTACACGATACAAGAGCATAGGCTCGTCACCCCGCCTAGGCTTGTCACCCCGCCTAAGTCCTCGCTCTGGTCTGTACTGCTGAAGGTGCTCTGTGTGCGGCCTACACGAAAGGCTTGCTCCCACGAGTTCCACAGGCACTCGTCGGCCTGAGACCAGCATTCTTCGGGCTTCGCATCTCCCACCAACACCCCAACGGTGCAAGAAACAGCACAGGGTCATATCCTGCACCTTCATTGCTCGGTTTGCCTATGCTGCCCAGCTCTCTGATATCCCGACACACCACAGCAGCGGCAGACACACACACCTGGTCTTCATCATCTGCTGCGCGAACTTCTTCACCTCCCTCACGGCCCGCGGCGCGCGCTTCTTGAAGGTAACGCCATACAACCTCTTGCTGAGGTGGATGGTGTAGTCGCGCGTGGCGAACTCGCTTGCCTTCTTGTCCTTGACCATGGTTACAGGCGAGCTCGAGGGAGGCACAGGGAAGCTGACCTCTCCCGGCCATCAACTCGCCGCCATCCGCGAGGGGGTCCGCGGAATACAAGTCCCCCCCCGGTGGAGTTGTTCCACCGGGAAAACGAGGCATATCTTTCCGGGAGATCGCGTTTTGTGCGAAGATTATAAAAAAATGAACCTCGAGCACGAGGGTGGCACCGGCGCCGCGCCAGGCCCCTTTCCCCGAGATCACAGTCTAGGAGTCTAGGCCTGGTACTCTGTTTATCGAGTTCATTAGCCGTCCCTTCCCGCCGTGTCCATGAACTATGGGTTGAACCTACTCTATAAGACTGCAGAGTGCTCGGGGCCGCGGTTGCACCGACACACCAAATACAAATAATCCATCCACATACATGCGCGGAAAGAGAAGGTTTGCGCGAGATCGCGCATGCAACACATCAGGCACAGCAGTGGGAGACGTACAGGAAACCTGCGTGTTTTTTTAGACTAACTGGATATGACACACTTCGCGGTGTGTCTCACCTCATAACGCGAAAACCGGCGCGGTAACACAACATGAGGAAAGCTCTGGGCGAGGTAACTTGCGCGTCGTTTTGGCATGGCATGCTCTTTGTTGTGGGGCAATTGAGCTTTGACAATAGGTTTGGGGAGCTGTCTCTCCAATGATGACGGTGTACCTTCCACGTGTCACTTTTTGAACGTGAGCATGGGTGCTATTCAGCGTAGAGGTGATGCAAAATACGACGTTCGTATCACCGAACGTTTCGCCGTGCACAGGAGGGCAGGGTTAAACAGGCCAACAAACTAGGTTAACATGTAGAGAAGTTGAAGCAGTTGACGGAATGCTTTGGCCGGCTGGACACGAAGTATCATGGTCGAATGCGTGAGAGTGTGTGCCTTCCCTACTTTTTCTGGACGTCAAATGTTCCTCGTGGACATGACGTCGACAGCCAACCGGCGGCGGTACAAGAAAAGTCTTGGTCGATCTCACACAGTATAATGATATCCAGGTTCGAAGCTGGTACAAGATGTCAGCTGGAGGAGGACACTGACTGCCACTGCCTTGCTCCATGATTTGACTGTTTCGAGCCCACTAGGGTACTCTTAGACAAAATTATGGCGCTGTATCCCTTGCCAAAACCCTAAATTACTCGTTGCCCATGCGTAAATACCCCACGCTGAAAGTTTTGTCCGTGTCGGCGTTGTTGCCTTGGCCAGGCAACTTCAGCGACAACTCTCATACAAACGGGTTCGGGAAGCCCCGAGGTGTCCGAGCAATTGCCCGTCATCTACGTAGAAGTGCGATGCTTTCGCATCCCCTTCGTAGTGGCGCGATACTGTGGAGCTGTAAACAGGGCGAAAACGCTAGAAGAGCCACGATATGCTAACAGACGAACACATCGGGGTCTTGCTACCACAATCCAACCTCTGTCACAACATGACCAAAGCTCGTAACCCCCCCCCCCCACCTACTGCTGTACCCATCCCCAACAACAAGCACCACAAAACCGCATCAGTTCGATCATCCAAGCTCGTCCGCGGTGATGATTGCCTCGATGAGCCGACACGCCCCTTTCACCCTTTTTCGAAACGACTTCCGCCTGTCGCGGTCCCAGCCGTCGGGGGCGGGTCCCAGGTGTCCCCGCAAGAACACGAGGGCGTTGTCTCTCGCGGCCGAGTGGCCCCCGCCTTCCTTCGTCCCCGCTGGCCGTGCAAGTCGTCGAAACACCTGCGGGATGGCATCGGCACCAGTACAACAGGCGCGGGCGGGGAGGAGTCAATACAAACGGTCTTTGGTTCTTTCTCCTCGAGAAACCCATGACCACAACATGTAAGCTAGATCCGTCCGACGAACGGCGCGCACCGGAAACCACGGGGGAGAGTTCCGACGGAGAGTTGATTGTCCGTGCCCCGACACCACCGCTACTCATTGGGCTCCCGTACAACATGCGCTCAAAACTGGCGAATGGCGCATGGCTCTGCCATCCCGGCCACAAACACCCCCTGGATGAAGGGAGACAACCCGAGAGAATGTGGTACTGTATTGCGCCCATTGTACTGCATCGTACGTTATGCCTCAGTCATCTCCAAGAGGAGACCCTCCCATACCAAGGTAAGATGCCGCCCTTCCGACTACCCTCTCCCCTCTTCCCGCCATTACCGTCTGCGTTGAACAAGTTCGATACCATCCGAAGATAACATGGAAACTCCTGAATCTAGGCGTGATTGATGTACTGCCTAACGAAATATAATACCCGCACAGAGTTTGGTCTAGAGTGCAAGTACATCAGGGCGGCAGTGGATGTTTCGTATCCGACAACGGCCGTTCGTGCGTCTTCACCAATATCTGGGAGGGGAAATGACACATACCTCCATGAAGGCAGCATCGTCGCCTGCGGCAATGATCTCATGGAAAAAAACTCGCATGAGGAGGAGTCTACTTTGAGATAGCTCTTGGACGTCCACCGTCTGCGATTATGGGGGACCGAAAACAAGTATGAGTGCATGGAAACGCCGCGTCATATAGTCTATACATTGGTCGGGGGTAGGGGAGCGACGGAGCGAAACACGAGAGAGGTCCCTGCCGCGCGACACGGTGGAGCATAGCCAACCAAAGTACACCCGTACTAGAGAATGCTGAAAACAGAAATCCAGGGCAAGAGCGCATAAAAGTGTACCAAAGCACTGACCGATTTGAGGGTACCAAGTACCAAGTCGCCACGGAGTTAGGCAAGAGGAATCCTCGTGCAAAACACTTGCAGCAATGCTACGAATGCTGTACCTTTAGCACGGTCAACGACAGTTGCTTCCGGACAACGAGATGGGCCATAAGGCGGGCGAGGCTCCCCGCTCGTCGCGCAGCACCGTCGTCGAGAGTCTTGAGCGCATCCCAGAACGCCACCTGAAACGTGAACCTGGTCAAGTGCGGAAAAAATACCGGTTAATTGTCGCTCACAAGTCTGGTGCTGCCTTTCGGATGGAGCGTATGGCGGCCGCTCGCAACAACCACCAGAAGGAAAAACTCGGAGACAAGCAAGGTCTGACAGATGACCCTGCCTTTTGTCCACCTGTTAGCTCACCAAAAATCGCGTGATCAAAAGCGACCCGCACTCAGCCCCGACAGAGAGCCGCGACACATAAGCACAACGGTTAGACTTGGAATAAAACTCCTAGAACACCTAAATAAAACAAGCTATCCATCGTTGCCCCACAAACGCACGAATCCATCACCTCAGCTTGGGCTGGCGATCGCACACACGCTCCGCCAGGTGGGCGTAGAACGGGTTGTATGAATCCTCCTGGCTGCAGCACTCTACGATCACCCTAGCGATCTCCCGCTCCTGCGCCCCCTTCAGGTTAAGCCGGAGGATCTTCTCGAGGGCGTCTTCGCAGTCCGAGCTGCCGACGATCGCCACGAAGACAGACCGCCGAACGTCGGTGTTCATCCGCTGCCTGGCCGCCAGGGCCAGGAGCCCCACCGCCTCGCTATCGTTCGCACCGCCGCCGCCGGTGCTTCCACCCGCCGAAGTTACGCCTCCGCCGTTTCGACTTTCCACTGTCGCGACTGCCGGGGATGAGGATGCGGACTCCCCTCGTCCCGCCCAGGCCGCGCCGACCCGCCACCAACGGCCCTTATTCTCCGTAGACACGAGCTCCGACCAGGTCACCCTCAGCGACGCGTCGCCGCCGCCGCCGGCACCGCCGCCCCCGCCGCCTTTAGCGGCCTTGACGGAGCCAAGCCACTTGCGCACGCGACGGCCGGACTCCTGCCCCTGCTCCTGGATCCGGCTGCGCTTGTTGCCCTGCAGTTCGAGGATCGTGTCGAGGATGTAGCGGGCGCGGGACCCTCCGAGCGCGGTCTTCGCGCCAGCGGCGGCGGCGGCGGTTGCGTTGCCGTCTGCGTCGTTGTCACGGTCGCCGCGGGGCTGGCAAGAGGCGAACGCCTCCTTCCATCGGTCGGTCTCCTCGGCAATGGAGCTTTTCTCGCCAACGTCGCTCTCGGGGATGACCGCCTCGGTACCCGAGCCGGCGACAGCGGCGGCCGACTTCTCTTTCACCAGGGCGACGATCTGCTTGAGCGCCTGCGGGTCGTCGGAGCGCAGCTGGTAACCGCTGTGTCGGAGCAGCAGCAGCAGGAGCTCCATTTCGTTCGCACCAAACGCTGGCAAAGGTTGGCGTAGGAGGCGGGGGCCGGGGCGGGGGGTCATGGCCGGGGCCCTGGTACGTGGAGAGCGCTCACAACATGTTTGCTGCGACGTATGCAAACTCTAAAACTTATAACTCACGCTGACATGCCACGGTGGAAAAATCAACAACGCCACAGCCTTACCGACAGCAAGATCAACAACAACGCACCATCGACTAGTAGACCGATGATGTCATACACGAGCGTGCAGTGAGCAACGCCGTAGTTGTACAGGTAGGCCAGAAGGAGCAGGAGGTTGGAACCCGTGCCCCTGCCCCCTCGTCGCGCGCTGCCGGAACCGCCGGCACAGCCACTCTCGCCCCTTTCGCCGGTGGCTCCCCAAACCTGTGTTGTGTTAATCGTAACCGCGAGATGAATCGTAAGCGAGGGACACGCCAGCGAAAAGACGCCAGCATCCCGAGGATCTCAGCAATATTGGGAAGTGGCTCGGGGAACAGACGAACACATAAATCGATTCGGCGGTCATGAATTTGGACAGCCGAGTTTTCTGTCAAGGCGTGAGGAGCAAGCGCCAACGGGACTCTCAAAACCGAACGTGAGAAAAAAAAGCAGGACTTTTCTCACGCTCTCTCGTGGAGCGCAATTATAGTCAATCATCAAGGAGTCGTACCTCTGCCTTGAGCTCTTTCGCGATGATCTCCAGGAAAAAACCACCCACGTCAGCGCCGAGCGAGATATTGAGGGCGGCTATGACCGCGGTGAAGGAAGGGATGAGCGTGGTCATCACCTGTGTAGGTTGAATTTTCGGCGGTCGGGTACAGAAAGGAACGGAAATGTATGCTCAGTGAGGTATGTTACGTTTTGGACCGAATGACTGAGGGTAAAAGGAAACGAGAACCTTCACGCACAAGCACGATGGGGTGCCTGGTGACGAGCTGAACAGAAACTCCAGATATTCTCAACATGCTCCCAATAGCCTCCTTTTCACTATCCACCCAAGTTTTCTTTTACCACACTGCCCCCCACCCAAGCGCCACCCCACTACCTGCCTCCCCGCTCTACTCTCGTTGACCAAAACTCTCCGAATTCTGAATCGACTCTGCGCGCCGTCGTTCGTGGTTTCTCCCAATTTCTTTTTTGGTGGTTGCTTCTTTCTGTCCCTGTCTGTCTGTTTGTGGCTACCTGTGTCTCTCCCTCTGTCTGTCTGTCTGTCGGTCTGTCTCCCTCTTTTTCTCTGTTCGCCACACACACGATCTATCGGAGATTGTTCTTCTCTCTCGTGAGTCGTCTGTTCGCATAGGTAAGCCCCCTCTCCCCCGACCCCTCTCTCACGTGCTTGTCATGGACGCAGACGGCCCTGGTAGCCTGCCAGAGCGCCTCGTTAACCTCCGTGGTGCTGTGCCCGCGGTACGCCTCCCGTAGACGAGCCGTCACGGGTTCCAGGGTATCCTCAGATAGGCGGTTCATGATACCGTTTACCACTCGCTGCAAGGAGTCCAAAAAATGAAGGACGAACAAAAAGAACCACGTGCGAAATAATTAATGAGAGCTCGATAGACTGTCTAAACGTCTTCACAAAAAAAAGGCATCGTACTGTACATGCTTACAATTTTGGGTTTCAGGTTTGAATGTATATGGTGTTGGAGTACTGCGCAAGTTTCGCGTGCTATAGCCGTCTTTTTGGCAGCGGCAGGCGCGAGTGGCTCCGCTCAGGAACAGACGCAGAAGTTGCCAAGACAAACAAGAGAAAGGAATGGTATCAAACGGAAAAAACCCGTTCGAACACGTTTGTGCGGAGGGTTTCGGTCCAAAGAACGTCTCAAGGGTTTCGCTACGCTGGTGTTGCGAAATCACGAAGCGCCTTTCAGAGACGAACACAAGAGCATGCGAGCGTGCAGACAAAGCACTGACGCCACCAAGCTGGCACACAGCTCGCCAATCAACACAACAACCCAGATCCTTAATCCAGACAGAATTTGGGGGCGAGGGTAAACCTTGACCCCAAATGAAGCACACACGAACGAATGAATCGATATGTATCTCCTTCCCACGAGGACGAGCCCCAGCTGCATGCACACTTGTACGAGCAAGAAAAAGGAGTCGCTCAGTAGCGGATTTTATCCTTCACCAGCTTCTGGACCTCACTTGGACCTCGGCACGCTTAACGTTTCCGCCAAACTTGTCCGCAGCAGTGCCTCCGGACGCCGTCCCTCCCTCTGCGGCTGCCGCGGCCGCCCTCAAGTGAGGGGGCACGTACGCGGCGGGTGCCGCACCGCCCTTGGTAGGCCCTATTGTCCGCCCGTAGATGTCCTGCCCGGGCTTGGGTTTGTACGTGTGCCGCTTGAAGTCCTCACTCTCTTCCTCGGCTGCCGGCGTCCCTGGACTGTCGTCTTCGTCCCCGTACCCTGTTGTGTCGGGCGACCTCGAGTTCATCTCTTCCTCTTCTTCCTCCTCCTCCTCCTCCTCCTCCTCCTCCTCTCCAGTATCCCCATTTTCTTCCCCGTCTTCATCACCTTTGCCCGCTTCGCCATCCCCTTCCTGAATGCTTTCCGAGAAATTCCCCTTGTGATCCGTGACATCTCGCAAGAGCTCCAGAGCCCCCCCTTCCTTCCCTTCTTCTTCCCCATCTTCTTCTTCCTCATCCTCCTCCTCCTCTTTCCCCTCCTCCTCTTGAATGCTTTCCAAAAATTGACCTTCGCTATCGAGGACACCATGCAACAGTTCCCGCCCCCCTCCTTCAAGCCCCAAGTCATCATCATCATCGTCTTCCTCCTCCTCCTCCTCCTCCTCTTCTTCCCCCTTCCGGGTTATCGCCCTGACGGGACCGCCGGTGACGCTGTTGGCTTCGTCTTCGGGAATGTTCTCGTGAAAGTCCCAATTTGCCTCCATGAGCGCCCGGTCTTCTTCGCTCGACCCGCTCCCACCTCCCCCCTCCACAAACTGCTTCGATCGATCGAGCGAGTCGGTGCGGCGGAGGGTGGGATTGGTTGAATAATGCGACAGGGCGAGAGGCTGGGCAAAACGCGGAACAACAACCATGACACCACCGATAACCGAGGGGGAACAACGCAGCTGCAGGTACACAAAAAAGATGCAGTCTCCACCAACACCCGGCACGGCAATTGTCCTTTCTTGCAACTACAAAACTCGAAACTACTACAACAGGAGTGGCTGCCACATGCAAAAACAACAGACCAGCTACAACCGCATCTATACAACCCGCCTCTAAACAAACACCTAGATCATGAGATACGTTACACCAATACAACCGCATATACGGCAGGACCAACCACTTACTTCGCCGATACGGTCCAGATCGGAGAGGAAAGCCCCGAACTCGTCGCCCATGCCGTCTTCCACCTCGATCTCCCTCGCCAGCTTGGCGCGCTTTTTCTTAGCATTGGGTCCGGTCACGCCGAGGAGGCGCTCGAGACGCTGTCGAGACAACCGATGAAGCGTCGTCAAGGTAAGGGCTACGAGAGCCCAAAACTCAAGAGAGGCATATCAAAAACAACTAATGGGTGTAGACCAACCAGCAGACGACGCGCAAATGGAAAGAAAATGAAACACAAGAAGAGAATGCGGGAATCGTACAAGTGGGAAAAAGAGGGACGCAAGACAGATCAGAGACGGTGCAGAGGCGTCGATGATCGCCGAAGGTTGCACACCAGCATCAACAAACTTCGACCAAATCTTGAAAGGTAGGGCAAGCACTATCTGTAGCACCTTGAGCTCAGCGTCTTCGGCAGCAATCATTGGGTCAATCTCCTCTGGCCTCCACCGCTTGCGCCGAGCACCATTTGCACCGCCACCACCCTTCTGAGCAACCGCATCCCCCTGCTTTCGCTTCACTCCTACTTGGGGCTTTCGCTTCTTAGCAGCAGCAGCGGCAGCAGCAGCTGCTGCAACGGGTCCGGTGGTCACTGCTCCCGCGGAAGAAGTCTGCAGGTGTTGGGGGCGAATGTGTTGGGGAGGTGGAATTATGCCACAGCCCACAAAGCTAAAAGGCGAAGGGAAATGCACCGATTTGCAAAAGGAGTGATTTTCCCCGTGCAGAGTTCGCCTGATGTTCATCCGAAGGTCCACATTTTGTCTACCGTACACACAGCACTGACCAACGAAACCGCGGGCGACGATCAAGTTCCCTCGAAGGCCGTTCCCATCTTTAACGCATTGACGTCTTGCGTGTATGTTATACGAGCAAACCTGTGATTTATATCCTTGTTGCCGACATTGAAATGTCCACTGCCGCGTGTACCCTTTTTCGGTAGTTGGCCTCTCACCACGGGAGGCGTACGTGTCCGCGTCGTTGAACTGGCACGGTTGTTAGAATGGGGACACAACAACAACAAAATAACAATAACTGTCCAGGGCGTGTGTCGCCATGTTGCGTCCAGCAGTGGTAGGCTACCGCTGAGCATTACAGCAGCAGCTAAAAAACAACAGTATTAGGCTGCCGCTAGAGCGTGGCAGTGGCTAGAGGACAGAAGTACCACCGCGTTTCGCCTCGCAAAAGAGCCGGCGCACACACGTTTGCTACGGCACGGACCAACACACGCATTTTGGTTTCGCGATTGAGCAATTGTCGACACAGCGCAGCGCAACAGGTTCAGCGCAACAGACAGTGGACACCGCGACTTGACAGCAGTTACCGCATCAATCGTCCCTCTCACTTGCTGCTTGAGGATGTGCCGCTGTTGCTTCTTCTCCTTGGCTGCTTGCTTGTGAGCCTTCCGAAGCTCCTTGCGCGAAAGGCTGCCCCTGGCACCACCCTTGACCATGACTCCCTTCTCACTATTACCGGTTTTACCCTCTCGCCTTCCCACTATCCCGTTCTTGCCCCCTCTCTCTATTTCTCTCTCTCTCTCTCTTTCTCTCTCTCTGCTGCTGCTGGAGTTTGCTGTCGTTTGTGGCTGTGAGACGGGGCTGGACGCCGGGACGCCGGTCGCTTCTCGGGACTGTCAGGAGGCTCCGTGTATTGCGTTCAATGCAAGTTCAAAACAAATAATTGAAGAATTAAGAAAAAAAAAAAACATGGAATCGTGCCCGCTTGAGCAAAGCACAGCATCAACCAGGTGTGAGAGCCGAAACCATGGCGCGCGTTCTCTTCGTCAATGGCCATGTGTGGCAGTCTCAACGACGGCGGGAGCTTCCGGCGTCGTGGCTGCTGATATCTCGGCCAGGAGATGAAAAGAGCACTGGCGAAATAATCGCTGTCGGGGCTGGACATGTTCCACCAGAGCACAGGTAGGCCTGAGACGCACGACGGCTCTTCCTTCCTGCTGCTGGCGCCAGGCTAACCGTACCTTGTCAATTTACTGAGGAACACGCCTGAAATATGGCTGTTGCAACATTGTAGCATATGCCGACAGGTCGATAATTCAGGCCAAACAGCGATGCTAAATCACAACAGCAATGTGAGGTTACATGTGTTGTGCGGATTCAGGATACACCGACCTGGATACATCATAGGATACACCTATGCATGCAGCAGCGGGTACCGTAAGGTTGGGGGTCAGTGCACGGTCCGGAGTTTCCGCACGATCCGGAGGCATCGCACAGGGGTGCGATGAAAATTAAATGGCATAATCATTTAATTCGATTTCCGCACAGGGTCCGGAGTTACCGCACAGGGGTGCGATGACTCGCAACCTACAGCAGTAGGGTAGTAGTTGAGTGCCAGCGATTTCGGGGCAACTTTCACCCCCGCAACCATGTCATGCTGGCATGGAGCTCTGCTGTATGGGTAGGTAGGTCATCGTCGCATACCACAGGTGGAGGTATGAAGGAAATGAAACACATTGGTATTTCCATTGAATCGATAAACTTGAACATTGTCCATTCAACCAAACCACGAGAAAAAAACAGGAGCCATCAGCCAGAACAACGAACAGCAGTAAGTACTGCTGTGGAACAGCACCATGGAACAGCAGCACTTTTGTGCCTATGTTCTACTTCTTTCGCTACACAACAAATTTAATGCCGTCACCACCAGAAACACCTAACAGCACAAACCTCCGTACTGCTGGGATGCACACAAAAGCATGTTCGGGCAGCCAACCTGCCACTAATGGTGTGTGTGTGTGTCTCGAAAACCTAGCATCCATCGGGCTAACTGCCGTGGTTGGCTGACGTGCGCGTGTGTTTGTACGTTGCGTGTGGAGCCTGCAACCGCAGCACAACTGATGTGTCCGTGCGTTTGCAAAGTTATTCATTTCAAGTACCGCACATACCGGAGTTATCGCACAGGGGTGTGCGTTGAAAGTTCTTGATAGTATCGCCTCCAGGATTTACTCAGGACCGCACATACTCGCAGCCTGTTAAGGTCCAGGTCACGGGTTCGAGTCCCGACAGAGTGAGTTTTTTGTCACTAATCAAATCCTGGTCTCCGTTGGAAGCGACGCGCTGCAAAGCTCGTTGTTAGTAACTTGATCGACTTCGTATGTCGCGAGGGAAGGGATTGCTGTACCCTTCTCGCGATAAAAATATCTCAGGCAGGAACCGACCGCAGGAGGGGGTCCAACCCCCCCCTCCTGTGTGACTCCGGTTGAGTTGTCTAGCTGGTAGAAGTGGAGGATAGGGGCCAGAGGGGCAGACGACAGAGTCCAATAATGGAAAAAAAAAAAAGTGGAGTAGTCGCACAGGGGTGTGCGTCATGTATCGAAACCAAATGATTCAATTCAATTTCTGCACAGGGTGCGGAGTCATCGCACGGTCCGGAGTCATCGCACAGGGGTGCGATGAAAATGAAATGGCGAAAATGTGTAAATAACGACCGGACGGGGGTGCGCTGACCCGCAACCTTACGTTACAAACCTACCTACAGCAGTGGGTCTCCACTTGGGCCGCACTACTAGTAGCAAAAGGATGAAGCTCTTGTTCTCACCCGCTCTTACTTCCTACGAGCGTTTTCGAATTTCGAAACACACCGGTTGACATGTATTGGACCAAAGTGTTTTACATGAGCATGCCCTCTCGCGAGCGTTGCGACGTTCCCCGTGTGGCAGGAGCAGGAGCAGCGAAGGAGAGAGAGAGAGAGAGAGAGAGAGAGAGAGAGAGAGAGAGAGAGAGAGAGAGAGAGNAGCAGAGCAGAGCCACCGAATAACTGCGGGCGTCAGGCGCCTATCCAGTTCTTGCGTCGGCTGCCTCTGTTTCACGTTTTGGCAGGTCGGATGCTGACGTGATAGATCTGAAGGGAGCTATTGTGCTGCCAGGGATCCAGGATGCACACATACACATCGGGTGTATGGGAGAAAGGTAAGGGTACACATTTTCTGGAGGCCAATGGTAGGCGTTCTTAGCCGTGCTGGTGGTAGCAAGTCCTCCTATGACATGTTGGGCCGATGTCGCTGAAATTGCGCTTTCCGACAACAAGAGCAATTGATTTTTCTGGGTCGGCGTGTCGGCGTGGCTCGAGCACGGTGATCCAACACGCGACCTCGTGAACGGCTGGCCTTGGGTGTGGCGTACGCAGGAACCTACCTGGCGTTGCATGCGCCTTGCAATTATGGGTAGAGCGTCATCCTATCCTGTCGTGTCTGTCATATCTCTATTGAGCGAGTTGTTTCTATCCGTATATCTTTGGCCTCTGCCCCGCCCTCCCCCCCCCC